AGATTCGGTTAATAAGCACACAGGCACAACCAATTCCACACAAGCAACGTACACATTCTCATACTACAACGTTACATCATTTTGTTCATCAGTAGCTCAATGAGTGGCAAGAGTATAATGTATTCTATGAATTACAATGCACCAACTGTTATTCTATGCAGGTTACAGTTTCAATGATTTTCTTATCAAATTTATCGCAGCTATTTCTTCGAGAAATATGTCGATGATGAATTGTATAAAATCAAATAAAATAGCCTCTTCAGTCTTTGTTGAATACTTGTCGTCGTATCTAAGAGATTTCTAGATCCTAAATGATGATAATTAATAATTATCTTAGGAAGAAACTTGGAAAAACGTTGCTTTAATAAGACAGCATTTGTAAAAAGATTATCAAAACGTTACACGCCTATAAAAAACCGATATTTCAGTAATATTTTCAATCGTTCTTATAATAATTATCAAAAACATATGTTTAATATCTGTATACAAACTCCGTGATATTACTACAAGAGAGAATTTCCATAAAATTTATTAAATCCGATATGCACGTACTTTATTTATGATAAACAATTATTCCTAACATTATACCTACATTCTAAGTAGCACGTTTTTCATAGTAGAATCATTATATATATATATATGTTTATATATATATTTATGATTTGAGATCGTAATTAATTTACATAGGTACTGAAATTACACCTTGAAAATAAGGTAAGATATTTCTGAGAATTTTAATCTGTACTGCCATGGCATTATAATTTTAGGAACTAAAGTTATAGAAACCCTTACTGATGCAATTTTATATTAATAACTATATTATTAATATTAAACAAAGATCACTGTAGTAATTACTAAATAAAATATTAATAGTCAATCATTTACCAGTTATCAAGAAATTCAAAACCAGTCTTTGGTATAGCTCTCTCCTCTTCCTCTTGATTAAGTTGAGACGATTGGAAGCTACTGTACGAACTAGGTGTTTCTAACAATGCAGTCGACTCGTTAATATCACTGGACTTTGTGCGTGACATTACAACTAATGTATTCGACTGACTTTTGTCAGTGTCAGAGTCCCTTTCTCTAACTAAGCTCTCCATGTCATCATCTAAGTTATTTTGTAACTTCAATAAAGAAGTTTTATTCATTAATTTAGTAAATATACTTTCGGAGTGGTCATTATCCCCATTACTTTTCAATAAACCTCCACATTGTTCATCTTCATAAATGCTACTTCTGTAACAGTCAGTTTGAAAGCGACTGACTTGATGCGAAGAATAAGTATCATTAAGTGAGTTTGAATTATTTCTCTGTGATTTGGAGGGGCTAGAGAAATGTGGTGATTCCCCGAATTGTGCCCTTATCAACTTAGACTTAGCATCCTCTGTTGAATCTATTATACTGAGATTCATTTGTGATTGAGTCATGAATGAAAATGGAGCTGAGTGTTCATCTCTCCATCGCAGTGTCTATAACATTGTAATGAACTTATTGTTTTAACTTCAGAAAATCAAACTAGTGTTATATTGTACTTATGTCACAAATAATATTTATTGAAAAAAGGTGAACTCAAAACAATATACTTACTGAACCAGTCTCATCAATGGCATATTTCATACCCGTCTGAATGCGTAATTTTGGATACCATTCAGGTAGTTCTTTTGTGAATTCAACTTTTTTCAAAGTATATTTCAATGCTACTTCTGGCTGAATAATAGTTTCATTTATTGCTTGATTACGCTCTGCTGTGCTCAAAGTATTCCACAGACCCTCATAAGCTTCCTTTGTTGCTGTGATGTCTTCTCCTATTCTTTGAGCCAATGGGTTTATACTATAGAAATATTGTTCAGCTCTTGAACTTAAAGTAGCACTCATACCGAAATTTTTAAACTAGTACAAAGAAATTATCTGCAATAACAAAACGTAATACTTTATAAAACAATAAAAAAATAACATCGATTCGTACATACATAAAACGATGAATTTATAACGAAGAACGAAATTAGATAAAGGTTACAGCACTACACGAAATCTTTTGATTATTAGTAGATACGGAATCTGTTACGATATTCGAGAAAAGAATGATCAATTACATTAAACATGAAGTACATAAAATGAAACAATAGTGAATGTATATTAAAAGTGCTGTCGAAAAGTCGTATGACAGAACACCTCTGTGTAATTACACTCGCGCGTGCGTACATTTGTGCTAACACTGTCAACATGAAGGATCCTTGATCCTCAATCTACATCAATTTATACATTATTTAGAATGCTATTTCAATCAAGGGACTAATTATTTACTACAGTATAAATAACAGTAGTACGTTTAATAGCTAATACATTTAATTGTAATAATAAAATTTAATTATAATTACATACTCATCTCGGTACGTCTCGAACGTATTCTTCTCATAAAATCCCGCGCTAAACTGATGATTGCTGAAAAACAAACAACTACTACGAAACAATAAACTGAAACTGAAAATTTTATACGGTATATACATTAATATTAACCTATAAGTTGGGTAGGAAATATATTAAATTATTGATATCAAATGTTTTAAAGATTTATTTCCATTCTCTTCGTTTAAAGATTTACCACAATATATTTCTATGATTTTTATGATTATCTTTTTAAAACGAATCTTCTCAAAGGACTAACAAACAAATCAACTTGAAAAATTACTATACTTATGTATTCAATAATAAAGCCGTTGAAAATTACTAAATTGGTGATAAACGAAGAACGATCTTAATGCCCTATCATAAGTAGCTACACAATTGGATTTCACTGAAATTATCATATACTTCATTGTTCTCTTTTATTATCATACAAATATATACAACATCGTTATCTTAAATCAGTTCTTGCGCGTTTAGTAACCGTTTCTTTTATACTCTATAATTTAAACGGAACGGATTGCTTATTTTAAAATGTACACAGTACACAAAGAGTGACAATTATTTACAGACAGCAATATTTCAACAGGAATGATAATAAATAAAGATTGCGTGTGATATCCATGAGAATTATACGTAACGTTGGCTGTTTTAAGTATCACTTACACAAGTATCAATATTCTTTATAAAGACATTTCAAGTATAAACGAGTATATGTTTCAATTGCAATCTATCCTTTTCTCCATTTTATAAAATATATATACAACCGGTAGTGCATCTCAAAAATTTATCCATTGAACCGTGAACTAAAGTTGTTTGATAAAATGTTAATTTCGTTTTTCTTTTTTATCCTAAATTATACTACACTTTCAATAGTATGTATAACTCATTCAAAACCGGACCTGATTCCATAATTTGAGATACCTAGGGTACGTTACGTTCCTGTTTTTCTTCTGCTGAACAAATCCACGTAATAGGTACGTTTAGTAACTCTCACCGCGATACATGTATTCACCCATGTAAATTAGTGTTCCCGAATATATCAGATTAAAAAATTCTTGTATCCCGCAGTACGCTTAGCCAAAAGTATCGTGTGCTTTCATGTGTAGAAATTGCAATGTAAATAAAAAATTAAAAAATAAAA